TAGCCCTTGACCCTCTGCTTCTGGCTGAGCCCACATCCCACATCCCCCTAAGGATACTAACAAGTTCTTTTCTATGTTCAGCACACCTGACCTGTTAGCCTTACTATCCCTCAGATTTCTAGTAAAGACTGTTCTTTAATGGAGTGCTACTTGGTGCCTGCTTCAAGCAAACAATGTAGTGACAGGGCGTCTCAAGAGCAGCCGGGGAGGGTGTCTTAGTTCCTGACCTGTGCGCTGTCGTGTGGGGTCACCGTGTCTCCTGTGCACCTCTCTGCAGGAGCACTGTACTGCTCTTGGCATTTTGTTTAAGAAACACAATATGATAGCAGCTTAAATCCACCCATTAAAAGACTCTCTTAAGCTAAACAAACATTTTCCTCAGCCCTTAGCTTAAGAGATTGCTCTAATGGGTGGATTCCAAACTAATACTATTTTATGGTTTTTTCCTTAAGTTCTCTGAGATGAGATTCTTGGGCTGCCGCACAGCCCCCCGCCTGCCGCTCACTCCTCAGCCAGAAGCCGCGGTGCACCAGGCTTTTCCCAGGCTGCCTGCTGTAGGGGGTTCTACTCTCCTCCACATCTTCCTCTAGGCATTCTGAAAGAGGCAGTAGGGTAAGAAAGAAAAGAAAAAGAAGGAAAGAAAAAGAAAGAAAGAAAAAGAAAGAAAGAAAGGAAGAAAGGAAGAAAGAAAGAAAGAAAGAAAAAGAAAGAAAGCAAGCGAGCTATTCCCTTGAAACAATCATTACTTTTTCTTGAGATTTATTGATTTTTTCCACCAAAATTTGGGAATTTAGAGTTCTGACCTAAGAAAGACCACTTCTGTGCAGTCATCTGACACAAATGCTCCCTTCAAGGAAACCAGAGGGGCGTTCAGAGCAGAGATGAAGAGAATTAAGGGAGAAGTGTGCTCTTGACTGGGAACTCTGGCCCCGCAGTGCTCGGGAGAGGCACACACCCGCCACAGAAGGTGCACAAAGGTGGACACGCAGTCCTTCCTCTCTCGGGGCCACGGTGACACTCTCCACCCCGGGGAAGTGACTGGCTGAAGTCTGCACAGACGGTGACAGGTGGGACTGAAGACAGGGGCTCTGCCCCCATGCCACGTGTAGTCACACAGGTGACAGAACTGCCGTGCCTGTGGGGTGGAGGAGCGCCTGACCTGGAGAACTGGGGGCTTTGTATCCTGGGATTGTGTTGCTGTTCACCAGCTTTTACGTACATAACAGCTTTGATGTTACACCCACAACCAGGAGCAATCTAGTCTGAAAACGCCTTTGCCCTGTGTCCATGTAGAAGAGCTACTAACCGCAGGAGCCTGTGAGAGACCCTGTCCAAGTGTCTCTGCTCTGTCTGCTTCCCTGGGCTTGGTTAAGCCTGTGGGTACATCTTAAATCTCTCCTGTTCCTTTCCATTCCCCCTCCCCAGAAAGTTATTCTAAATTGGGAACCTTGGTGGGTTTCTCTTAAATGACTGAAGAGATTTCTGTGGGTCAGAAATGAGGAGCTCTGAATGCAGCAACTTGTAAGAAATGCCACTGCTGATTGCTGGAGCAGCCACCGGGTCGGGGCCCCAGAGGCTAGGGAACGGGCTGTTGGGGTCCCTGGCTGTCGGGCTGCACCCTAGCCCTGGCCAGCAGGATTTGCACACTTGCCTGTCACTTACTAGTCCTGGCCATGCCTGAGCTTCCAGCATGCAGGTGTGGAAGGTCTGCAGGAACTTGCAGTGGTCAGACCGGAGAGGGCAGGGTGCACGGGGACCCACCGGCGGCAGCTATGGAGAAGCCCTTGTGGCACGGACAGCAGGCGGCAGACTCGAGAGCAAGAGGCTTCTGCGGAATCTCTGCCCCCTGCTTTGTCTGGGAAAGGACTCGGCTGCTAACTCGGGCCGCCTACTTCGCAGAAGGTTGTGTGGAGGCAGGGATGAGCCCTCGGGAGGCAAGGTGCTTCGCAAAGACCGTCCACCATGTGTGAGCAACGGTGACCACGTGATTTGCGCCTCCAGCCAGGGGCAAGCGATAAAGAGCAACAAGACATCTGCACCAAGCTGCTGTGAGCTGCGCAGGCCTCCAGAGCAAACGCCGTGGCCCCGCCTTGGAGCCTACCCTCGGCCTGGCACGCTTGGTGACACCAGAGCTGAGGGCCTGGGGTTCTCAGCCATGGGCAGGGCTGCTGCACTGCATGGAGTGGGGACCTGCGACCCACTTTCCTCCTCCACCTCCTTCCTCTCTCCATCTCTCTAGAGATGCTGAAATTCCTCTTTGGAATAGATAAGGAAAACTCCCTGACCTTCTAAAAAACTTTAAAAAATTCTTTCGCACTCCATTAAAGTATATGAGGAGTTTTCAGAAGCACTGGGTGAGTGCTACTGCATATCCCTGTTTTACAGGTGAAGAGTGTGAGGCTGGGATCAGGCGAATGAGTTAGGACACCTCAAGCCAGACGCGACAAACTTTGAGTGTTTCCAAGATTTCACGCCCGGTGTTCCTACAAGGAAAGGGGGTGGGGAGAAGTAAGAAGAAATGGGGAAGAAGAGAGGGATGGAAGGGAGGGAGAAGGGAAAGGAAAAGAAAAAACGAGTTAGGAGATGAGTTCTCGGCACTTCTCACACCAGCGCCAGCAGAGTGGGCTCGGGTCTGCGCGCCTGCGGGTGCCCTGCGTGGTGCGCAAGCGGGCCCATCGTGCCCTGTGTCTCCACTCGCCACCCGTCTCTTCGACCTCGCTCTCGGGCGCCCACAGGAGCCCACCCAGGAGCGGGCGAGGCAGCCCCGGCATTCGGTGGCCGCGGGTCCGCGCTTGGCGGTTCACCGCTCGGCCTCGACCCAGGGATGAGTCTCGGGCCCAGCACCCGGCACCAGCTGTGGTGAACGCAGGGAGGGGAGCTCTGAGCAGACTGACGCTCGCAGGGACCTTGGCGCCGCCCGCAGGAGGGTGTGCTCCTTCGCACGCAGTTACCCGCGGGAATACGCGAGGAAGCAAAAGATGAAGGAATGCAGGAGCGGGGCAGCCGACCCGCCCGGTTCTGGCGCGCGGACAGCGACTGCGCTCCCGCCGCTGCGGCACCGGGCGGTGCTTCCTAGACAGCCCGGGCTCGGAAGCGCTCCGGACCAAGTGCAAGAAATTAAACAGCTGGGAACAACCTTTACAGCCTGCTTTCTCTCTGCCCCAGCCCCGTTGTTCTGTTTTTGCCCTGGGTCTCTGGAGTCAGCTGGGCTGCTCGGAGCTCCCCGCCCTCGGGCCGCGAGTCTCCCCAACCTGACCCTCCGCGCCGCCCCGGGGCGCGCGCTCTGCTCCGGGCCATTCCGGGGCGGGAGCCCAGTGGGGACGCTCGCGGCCGGGAAGAGGGCGCTGTTCCCTGCAGGCCGCTGCAGAGCATCCCAGCCCTGGAGCTGCGGTAGCGGTAGTGCCAGCAAGTGTCACGGTTTTCCGCCGCCGCAGAGTCCCCCGTGGGGCCCTCTATCCCTGCTCCTCTGAGAGCTCCCCTCCAGAGGCCGGCGCCGCCTGAGCTCCCAACCTGGAGCTCCCTGGCCTAGCGCTTTTCTGGAAGCATTTCTGGCAGCCCGGCCCGACCCTGGAAATGGGCTCGGCTTCCCCGGGCAGGGAAATCCGCCATGGGGCGGGTGCTCTGCGAACCGCCTCCTTCCCGGCTGGTTGCCCCGCACCAGGCAGCTCCACTGCTCCACCTCGGGCCCCAGTGTTCTCTTCCCCGATCGAAACCCACGTTCCAGGCCAGCGCCTCTCGCCCAGCTCCCTTGGCTCTCGCCAGGGCGCTCGGGCCGTGGGAGCTGCCCCAGGATGCTGGCGGCGGGAGGGCGGAAACCACAGCAATCTGTTCTTGCCCAAAGCGCGCGCTCCGATGAAAGTTATCCGGGTTTCTGGGGTCAAAACCAGGACGTCTAAACCCAGAGGTTGCCTTTCTCCGTGCACCTGCGCGGAGTTAGATCCCGGGCCTTGCGTGCTGCGTGCGAGGCGTCTGCGAACTGGGGCCTTAGAACCTGAGTGGAGCGTCGTGTGCTCGTCAGCCATGGAGCGAAGAGTGTGAGCTTTCACTGTGTTTGTCTCACTGAATCATCAGCACAGCCCCATGGGTCAATCTTCTCGTCTCCAATTCAGGATCAGAAACGGAGGCCTAGGGAGACGCCTGACTTGCGCAGCGTCTCTGACCCCAAGCCCAGGTCTTCCCACCAGTCTCCCACCTTCCATGGTCACCTCTGCAGTGACCCTCAAATATGTGTGGCTTGCACTCCCGGATGTAGTCCACCCTCGAGGCGTATAAGCCGGGTGTGTCTGAGTGACATTTGTTCACGCGTGGATTGGATTCGCTCACTTATTCGGCAATTTTTGTGCGCCCCGATGTGCGCGCGTTGGTGTGAGAGCGCAGGGGCAGCCCTGTCACACCGGGCGGGCGGCCTGAGAGTTTCGGCCCTCGCTAGGGAGGGATGAGCCAAACTCGCAGCCCGAAGCCCCCTGTATTTTGGGTGTTGGGATGTGAGGGACTGGGCGAGTTCCCGGGTCGCACGGAAGCCCCAAGGGACACGGGAGAGTGGAGAGACGACACTGGAGTCGGAGAAGGGAATTCCACCCCGAGTCAAAGGCAAAGGAGCTGGAGGCCCGACGCCGGAGACGGGGCAAGAGGGGCTCGGATGGGAAGAACAGGCGCGTCTTCCTGAGAGGCCTGGGGTGGGCGCCGCGCCTCTGCCGCCACCCTAGTTGGCGGGGGCAGGTGACCGAAGGCCGTCACTTTGGGAAAGTTCTCGGTGTGTTCCCTGAGAAGGGCTGACTGGCCGATCTGGGGCATTCGCGGTGACGTCTCTTGCGCCAGGGTTCGGATTTCCCTTGCGGGAAGAGCTGGAGTGTGGCGGCAGGGGCCGGAGCGCAGCGGCGCGCGGCTCTGCACCTGCGGCGGGCCGGGACGGCGCGTCCCCGCGGAGGGGCGGGCCGGGGGCGGCGCGGGGAGAGGCCGGCCCCTCCCTCCTCCGTCCCTCCCTTCTCCCTGCAGGTCGGAGCCCAGAGGCGGCGGGGCGCAGGGAGGGGACCCTCGCGGAAACGGGGCGGGGCCGCGCCGCCTTGGAGACTCATTGGAGAACCCGACCGCCCGAAGCTGATAAATAAGGGCCCGGGCCGCGGCCGGGGGCCAAGTTTGAAGCCTCGACCCGAGCGAGGGCCCGGTCAGCACCCGCCCCACGAGGCGAAGCCCGGCTACCCCGTGCGGCCATGGCCTCTCTGCTTGGAGGCTACCCGTGGCCCGAGGGGCTCGAGTGCCCAGCCCTGGAAGCCGACCTGTCGGATGGACTGTCGCCGCCGGCCGCCCCCCGGCCCCCTGGGGACAAGGGTTCGGAGAGTCGCATCCGGCGGCCTATGAACGCCTTCATGGTGTGGGCCAAGGACGAGAGGAAACGGCTGGCGGTGCAGAACCCGGACCTGCACAACGCAGAGCTCAGCAAGATGCTGGGTGAGTAAGCGGCGGCCGGCTGGGCTCCCGGAGGGCGGCGGGCAGAGGGCCGCAGCGGGCGGGCAGGAGCTCGGGGCGCGGGCGCAGGCACAAGGCTCTTCTGCCCCGTCGTGGGCGCACTCGGTGCTGGAATCCGAGCAGGGACATCTCGGTCCCCGCGGTCCAAAGTGAAACTGCGGGCCGGGATTCCGGGAGGGGCCTCCTCCGGGACGCCCGAGATCCCGGCTCCAAAGCGGGTGCGACCTGGCAGCGGCCAGGCCCCGGCCTCCTGGAGAGGTGAGCCGCGCGCGGGGACGCTGCTGGGAAGGACGGTGACGTCGAGGCGGGGACCCCGGGCTTGCTGGGAAGGTTGGAGCGGGAAACCGCACCATGCCGTGCGCTTTCCGATTGGGACGATCAGAGGGAGACTGCCACGGATAACATCACAACGAGTACACAGGAAGGAAGGCCTTTGGGGGGCTTAATTGTTACGCTCACAGCCGGGAAGGGGCTGCCCGGACCGAGGCGCTTCACTAACGCGTTTGCGTCTGTCGCGGGGCGCAGGTAACACTGGATGCTCGGGGCGGCCGGGGAGTCTGTAGTGGCGCCGCTGCTTCTGGAAGCTGCTCGGGCTCTGGGGACAAGGACTGGGGACAGGGACGGGTCAGGCCAGAGGAACCCAGAGTGAGGGTATTAGGACGAGTCCGAAAAACCCGAGTTCCTGAGGGGCTCTTTCCCCTTCTATGCAGCAGCGCCTTGCTCGCACCCTCTTTGCGGTCCCCGGGTTTGATTCATTTGGACCAATGAGAATCGCAGCGCATTGTGCTCGCAGCGGGCGCCAGGCCCTGCGACAGGGACGTGCGGTCACTCGACCCCGCCCGGCGGCGGCGGCAGCGGCCGGAACCGGCCCTTCCTTTTCCCGTCGGAGCACAGGGCTCCTTCCCCCGCTGCGAGGGGAGTGCCGTCCCCTAGCGCTGGCCACAGCCCGGGCCTGGAGCGAGGCCCCAGCCCTCTTCTGGGTAAGGCTGAGTCTGGCTGGCCGAACCCCGGGGTCCCTGCGCCTCGCGCCCCGCCAGCTTCACGCTCGCGATGCATTGGCGGCGGCTGGGCCTCCATGCAGAAGAGTACAATGTTTGTTTTGTACTGTCGTGAGCATAATGAGAAATGTATTCAAATAGACAATAAACATTTCTCTTTGACCTGAGAGTCCATATTTTTCTTAGATTTTAAAAGAAATGAAAATAGTTTTTGGTGAATTACCTAAAACGTTTTTTAAAAAATTTTTTTCCCAAGGTCTTACTGGTTAGGCTCAGCTGGGCGCAGGAAGCTGCCGGTCTTGACCAGGCTTCTGTTGTGGGCACAGGCAGAGGTCGGGAGAGGCAGAGTTGAGGCAGGGCTGAGGTAGCTGCTCCTGGGGACAAGGACTGGCGGGGGATGAGGAGGCAGAGGCCCCCAAGGAGCCGATCCCTGTCTGCTGGGACTGCAGTTCCTTCCTGTTTAGCCTCGCTGTGCTGTCCGGGCAGTAGATGGGACACCTGCACCCTGCTGCCTTTTCAAATAGGGCCTTTGTGCACTGTGGACCGGGGGGCAGCCGCAGGATGACCTGTCAGAAAGAAAGGGCTGGGTGTGGGTCGCCAGTGTTCCACTATAAACTTTCCACAAAACTGCAACATTGAAACTTCACCCAGAGGCACCAGTGTTTCTAGTCCAGTATAAGAAAGTATATCAGGACAGGGAGGCCGAATGTATTTTAGTGCTACCACAACACTCAGGCACATTTGGGAAGTACACTCACATTTTATATCTGGTATCTGGATTGCAAGCCTCTTACAAGACCTTTATGGCCTCAGTTACAGGCTGGGCACCAGTGTCTAGATCAGAATGTGGAGTTCCTAACCCTCTTTAAGTCACCCTTTGAAGTGACAGCTCATGACAGTGACTGGCACCTCCACAGAATACTTAGACACTTTCACCCAAGTGACAGAATGCTTTAACAGTTGCCCCCCTTGCCTGGGCTCGAGGACCACTGTGCATCTGGCAGTGTGCTGACTCTTGGATGTGCTGGGGACAGGGACGGCGGCCTATGAACGCCTTCATGGTGTGGTGAATGGAAGACATGGCCCCTTTCCTATAGGGCCTTGGCCCCTTGGCTAGTGGGTCTCAAACTTCAGGCTCCCTTAGTGTCTTGGGGGAACATAGGAAAGTTGTAGAATCCCGAGGCAGTTCTCGGAGGGAGCAATGTAGGGGTCTAGAAGTGACCCCCAGAATACTCTGGTGCCAGAGAAGGGATAAAACAGACACCAGCGTGATTTGCAAAACAACAGACAGCAGGAATGACAATTAGGAAGTCAAGTACTGGCAGCATTTTAGCACTGGTGAATTACTAGAGGGGTTGCTTCTTAAAGAGAGAGCTGGCTCTGAACTGTTATTGCAGTATCTTTGGCATCCCTTTCATGGTGAGAAAAATGCGGCCCAGAGGAGTTCAGGGGTTTGCTTTTGTGTGGAGTCAGTGGCTGAGAAGGAGTCCCATAGCCATGGGGTCTCAAGCAGACAGTCAGAAGCGGTATCTTACGTGCGCATGTGTTGCAGGTTGACCTTCCCTGGTAGAGACTGGTGGTTGATTAGCTGGGCTCAGACCCTAGAATTGACTTGCGTCCGTGCAACTGTTGGCTGAGCCTGGGTTCCCTCAACCAAGGGTTGTGAGGTTGATGCCAGAAGTTATAGTATCCTTGAGAGGCAGGGAATGTTTATTTAAAAACACACATGATTAGAACGGGCCCTCAGAGGATAGGAAGAGCCTCAGTCAATGTCATGGTCATTGGGTATTTTTTCCTGTCACTGATATTGAGGCAAGAGTCCTATGCTTTTGCGTAGGGCCTGAGGTCTCCATGCACCGTTGTTATGAAGTGTGTTTGTTGGATGCAAGCAGGAGGGGTCGGTGCAGCCTCTGGGTGTGCTGGGGCTCAGTGCTGGAGAGGGGGTGCGAGGCAGGGTGCAGGAACTGAGGGGTGCTAGGAGGTGTGGGGCAGGTGCGCTGGTTGGCCCGCCCTCAGCCCCGGCACTGAGCGCAGCCTTCTCTGGCTTGTGTGAGCAGGGAAGTCATGGAAGGCGCTGTCGCTGTCGCAGAAGAGGCCCTACGTGGACGAGGCAGAGCGGCTGCGGCTGCAACACATGCAGGACTACCCCAACTACAAGTACCGGCCCCGCAGGAAGAAGCAGGCCAAGCGCCTCTGCAAGCGTGTGGACTCCGGCTTCCTCCTGAGCTCCCTCTCCCGGGACCAGAACGCCCTGCCGGAGAAGGTTGGCAGTGGCGGTGGGGCGCAGGGAGAGAAGGAGGGCAGGGGTGAGTACTCCGCAGGTGCTGCTCTGCCCAGCCTCCGAGGCTGCTACCACGAGGGCCCGGCTGGCGGTGCCCCCGGCAGTGTGGACACATACCCCTACGGGCTGCCCACGCCCCCGGAGATGTCTCCCCTGGACGCGCTGGAGCCCGAGCAGACCTTCTTCTCCTCCCCCTGCCCGGAGGAGCACACCCACCCCCGACACCTGCCGCACCTGCCCGGGCCCCCCTACTCCCCCGAGCTGGCCCCCAGCCCCCTCCACTGCAGCCACCCCCTGGGCTCTCTGGCGCTTGGCCAGACCCCAGGGGTGTCAGTAATGTCCACAGTCCCTGGCTGCCCCCCGTCTCCTGCCTATTACTCCCCAGCCACCTACCACCCGCTCCACCCCACCCTCCATACCCACCTGGGCCAGCTCTCCCCACCCCCAGAGCACCCCGGCTTTGACGCCTTGGATCAGCTGAGCCAGGTGGAACTTCTGGGGGACATGGATCGCAATGAGTTTGACCAGTATTTGAACGCTCCTGGCCACCCAGACTCTGCACCCGGGGCTGGGGCTCTGAGTGGGCACACACCACTCTCCCAGGTGGCCCCCACAGGCCCCGCAGAGACCAGCCTCATCTCTGTCCTGGCCGATGCCACGGCTGCATATTACAACAGCTACAGTGTGTCCTAGAGCCCCAGGCGAGTCTGCCCCAGCCCTTGCCGCCCTGTCCGTCCCGTGGACAGTGGGAGCAAACTGCACAGTGCCACCAGGCTTCCTCCTGCCCCCAGTGGCGGGGAGGCCCAGACGTCGGCCCTGGAGCCTTCGTCCCACAGCCAGGACGGCTCTGTGGATCCAGCGCCCTTGAGTTCCTTCAAGTGAGTTCCTCTGGCTGCAGCCCGGGAGCAGGGGCCTCCGGCTGCTGACACGCTCTCTCCCCTCCCGAATGAGCTGCCCCGTCCTGCCCTGCCCTCCTGGCCCGTCACTAGCTGGGAGCCACACCCGTTCGCTGGGTGCTTGGGGAGGAAGAGCCAAGGTCAGGGCCCAGCACTGCCACAGACGCTGGTGAAACCCCCGCCCGCCCTCCCCTCCAGCACCTCCGCTCTGCGAAGCCGCGGCAGACTGGACAGCCAAGGCCTCCGTGCCCGCCATGTCCTGAGGTGGGGTTCTGGCGCGGCTGCCTGAAGGACAGTAGGGCATCCTCACGATGTGCAGCCTGGCTCTGCACGGCTCTGGACATGGCTTTCTGCTCCTGCTGTCTCCCTTCCGCGGTGCCCTCGCTCGGGTGGCAGGACTCCTCCAGACGGAGATTTGGAAGTCAGACAGCATCACTGGAAACGAGACTGAGTTCAAGCTGGGTTTTTAAAGATAGAGTTTTCAGTCAATTCTTTTTCATCACGCACACTCGGAGAGAGTCGGTGAGAGACGCCCCCATACTCACCTTTGCGCACACTCCCTGTGGTGTAAACCAGGTCTGCTTAACCGTGGCCGTCTCTCACCACCTTCTGCTCCGAAAGACCCCAGGAGCCAGGCTCCTAACACAGAGCACGGTGGAGCAGCAGACTGTCAGCACTCCGGATATGTTGGTTTCTTGAGCAAAATTTCACCACTCTTTCCCCTCCGCACGTGCAAAAAGAGCCTCTTCCCGCTGTCTCAGCTCCCTTTCTCCCTTTCCTGGAATTTCTTTCTCTCTTCTGCTTTCTCTTGCTCCACCCGCTGAATTGGTTCCCTAATGCAAAGAGCCCCTGACTTGACACCCCAGTGATTCCTCTGTCCGGAGAATTTCTTAGCTGGTGAGTCAGCCGGTCCCTCAAGCTCTGTCCTCTGCCAGCGCGGTAGAGCCGCTTCGCGCAGCCTCTTTGTGAGACTCGCTTCCCAAGCAGAAACACACTGTGACTCTGACACCGGTCCTGAGCCGCGACATTCCTGTCCTCTGTCCTCCCCCGAATTTCCTTCGAAGGAGCAGACCTAACGTGCCACTTGCTTGTCTTCTGGCGTCAGCATATTATTGCCCGTATGAAATGTGTTTTATATATTCTCCTATTATGTTCACCTTATATTTCATATTGTTGATTCTTTTTTCCTTCCAAGAAGTCTTACTGTAAAATCACTTACCTGATTAATCTTTATGTTATTACTGTATATGCCATAGTAAATTGTTCTGGTGCACAGCCCAGAAGTGTATTAATAATCATGTAAAATAGTATCACAGACATTAAGCTAAACTGTTCCATTTTTTTTTGTAAGGACTACACATGCTTGGAATGGTTATGATATTGATTTGTCAAAAATATTTAATTTAAATAAACTTTTTTGTACCATGACCATTCTGTCATTTGAAATGCATTTTTTTTGTGCCAAAAGAAAAAGTTTTCAAGTGAAGTGCAGTTGGTATGTCCAGTGCTACTTGTGGTACTGGTCAAAATGTTTGCTACATTAGCTTTTTTATTTTAAAACTTTGCTGTCTTGCAGCAGTGGCTTGTCTTACATTACACCAAACAGATAAAGCCCGACTTCATACAATAGGAGCGTGCTTGTCATCATTAGCACTGAAAGAAAACACTGATTCCTAACCCACAGGACGAGCAGTTCTCTCCTGCAGGCGACTTCACGCTTGCAAACTGGAAGGAGGCGAGCAGGACCACCGGAGGATACAGGGTGAGTTTCGTTCAGTTATTTGCTTACTCGAGGCAACCATGAACACCTTGCTTGCCCCCTTTGCTGGGTGACGGGGTCTGACACCTTCTCGTGGAGAAGACAGGATGGTATGGCGTGGTGACTAAGGGATGGAGTCTGGCAAGGTTTAAGGTTACACTCCCAGGAAAAAATACCTGGCAAAACTGATGATCACTCAGTCCCAGGGCAGGTCACCTCCGCCTGGCTCTCCATGGTGGAGCAGTCATGACCTGCTGAAGTCAAGGGCAGCCTTGCGCTTCCCCAGGCCCCCGGGCCAAGGAGTGGGTCTCAGGAGGGCCGCTGGGCCGCTGCATCCTTCAGTTGACCCTAAGCTGTGCTCATTACTTTAACAGCACTTTATAGGTGCACGGAGCTTTACAGAGAGTTTTAGGGATTATTTCTCACTCATGGCTCCAGGTGGGGCCCATCATCCCCATGGCAAAGCTGGAGACACCGAGGCCCAAGGTGGAGGCTGGCAGGGGAGCTCACCACGTGCGCCAGGACACCTGCCGGACGCGTGTGTTGACAGCGTTTTAGCAGGACAGTGTCCCGGCTGGGCTTGGTGCCTTTGCTTTAGCACTTCCCAGTGGCGTAGGATTATATCCTGTGCAATCCACACCTACCTCTTAGGCAAGGGGTGACATGGGCCAAGGACACATGTCAGAGACAATGATGGCCAGGCCAAGACGAGGCTGCAGGCCTGGCCGGCATAGTGGCCGGCGGACGGTGGTGTCTGCAGGGTCACCGCTGGTGAGGCAGTGTCTGCTAGGACCTGTCCCTGGACACAGTGTGAGGTGGGTGCTGTCCGGGCCTCTGCCAGGGCAGGAAGTAGGCGGACGACATGCTTGCTTTGCTCTCAGGGAAACCTCACACCAGAAGCCAGGGCCGCCTGAGCATGCCGGCCGCCATCTCTGTCCCCGCTGCCACCTCGCCCGGAGCACTGTTTGCTCTGGCTGAGCTGGGTGACAATGTGAGTGTTGCTGCTCTTCTAAAATGTAGATGTCTCCGTGTCATTCCTTGACTGACATCACTCGGCGGGCGACTGCTTGTCACCCACAGCGCAGAGCGCAGAGGGGGCCTCGCGGCCAGGCCAAGGCTCCCATTCTGGGCCCTAACTTGCGTGGCTCTGGGGACAAGAAGCCTGCTCATGCCTCCACACAGCCGACAGTCTTTATAAACTTTGCCAACAGGAGATGCTTTTGTGTTCTTCCACGTAAGAGTCTTCCTCACCTGCTGTGCAAGCCTGAGGCCGTAAACCTGCCTGGTACCCATGCAGGTGCCCTTGTGACTAACCCTCATCTTTCCAGAAGCTTCTCACTCCCAACCCATCTTGCTTCAAGGAACCCGTTGGCCTCTGAAGACTCCTTTCCCCTGCCTCAGGGCTTCCTCAGTGCTGGCCCCCACCTGGCAGATCTTCACACCTCTCACCTGTCACCCATCTGGTGCCACCTACCTACTGTCCAGGTGGGGGTCAGACGTTCCCACCGTGGCAATGGTCACTCTCCTCCCATGGGACATGGGTGGGCCTCAAGGACGGTGGTGGCTGTTGGCAGTGGAGCACCCAGCAATGCATCCTCCCCCGAGCGGGGACCAAGACTAGTCACCTGGCAAAGAGATGGACACGTGACAAACACCCAGGACACCTCGGCTCAGCTTGACGATACAGACCTGGCACTTCTGGGCCCTTGATGTACCTCGAATGTCTCTGGAAGCCAAGGTCCCGGGCGTCTGTGCGGGTCCCTGTCGGCTCTCAGGCAGGGTCTAGGGTGGCACCTGCTGCCGGGTAGACAGGAAGAAAAGGCCGGGACACAACCCCAAGGACACGGAAGAAAAAGAGCTCCTCTGCCTTCCTGTCTGGGCGCAGTAGAGCAGAACTGAAAGCTGGGGGCTCCTAACCCTGCTCTTGCAAGAAGGCTGTGATGTTGAGTCCCTCTCAGTGACTAGGGAAAGGAGGGAAGGAAGGCCTCGAGGAAGGGGGAAGGAGAGAGAGAGAGACAGAAAGGAGGAAGGAAGGAAGGAAGGAAGAATGGAGGGAAGGGAGGAAGGAGGGAGGGAGGGAAGGAGATTTATCAACCACCCACTATCCACCAATCTACCATCTATTCATCTTTCTTTTCCTTCCTTCTTTCTGTCCTCTCTGCCTACCCCCTCTCACTGCTGTCTTCCTACCCACCCCCACCCGTGCATCTGTGCATCCATCCATCCCTATGTCTGCATCTGTCTGTATTCTGAGTCTCAGTAGAGACATTGTCTCTATAGAAAGTTGAGAAAAAAATAACAGGTTTTAAAGCAAAGAATAAGTCATCTGTTGTCTACAACTTAGGAGACATTATGGGTAATTTCTTGACATATTTTCATGCTGACTTTTTGTTTTCTTTGCGGTGATAGGGATGGAGTCCAGGGCCTTGTGCATGCTAGGCAAGTGCTCGCTCTACTCCTGAGCTATGTCCCCAACCTGCTGGGTTTTTCGAATTCGTTTACTTATTTATTTCCAGACATACATTTCCATATGTCTTTTATGATAGACATTTTTACGCATTCACATTAAATAAACATTTTTCTATGTCATTAAATTTGTCCACAAAAGCTATCTTCTTCCTATTTGGAAAATCAATATGAACACAATTTTGCATAAGACAAATTACCCACTGGGTGTATTTTCAGTACACTTGTTTCCATGTCCTGCACTCCCTGCTCTGTGTCTGAGCACGCGTAGTTACACAAGTTCCAACCCTGGGGAGGTGGACAGGCCACAGGCCACGGGCTGGATCGGCTCTGCAGCCCACGGCAGTGACAGTGACAGCGACAGTGACATCTGTCTATCAGCCCCCACGACTGCATGGTACTTGGGCGCAGTAACGTTGCTGGCTTTACCTGACCATCCCCCTGCTATGTGGTAATGGAATCGTTCCCTTTTCTGAGTCACCCTGCAGGGACCAGTTCCAGTTTGTGTCCTTAGCTGGCTTCCACAAGGGTCTCACCTGGTCCCTGGATTCCCACAGCGGCCTCACCTTTTCAGGTGGGAAGAATGAACTGTCGACCATTCGTAAGGGGTTCACCTCTCACAGGCTCACCTTTCTTTACTCCTCTTCACCCTTCGAGGTTCCTTTGGCTGCGGCCACCACCAGGTGTCCTTTCCCTCTTATCTAGAGCAAAGAAGGGTTGTTCTGGGGGTCAGCGGTAGTGACAGCTTCCCCAGCCACCCAGGTGCAAATGTCAGTGCCACAGCATGCTCTGTCCCTAGTCAGGAGCAGTTCCAGGCCTTACTGGATCCTGCGGGGACTTGGGTGAATCCCATACCTGCCTTCTAGCCTTGGGAGAGGTGGAGTGAATTCACAGGCATTTGGAACCTGCAAGCTCTATGCCCTGCACAAAAGAGCCCTTTAGTTTTGGATTTCTGTGAGTGGTTTCCATTTGTTTTAGCCTGTAGGCTGGTGCCAGGTTGAGAACTCAGGAGCCAGCTATTCGCTGACATCACACTGGGACTGACTGACGGGAGATGTAAGGACATAGACTAAAGGGAGAGCGTGGGGGTCTCTGTAGGTGTCCTTCTCTGGCGCTGAGCTGGGGTTTGCAGGACCTCTGGGTCCCTTCCCAGCCCCTCCCCTTGGTGGCTGGCAGCCTCTTCACTGTTCTTGGAAGACAGCTTTCTGTTCAGTTTGAGGGTCCCCCAGAAGAGGGAATTCTTCCCTGTGCAAGCTGGTCTGACAAATCCCATCATCAGAAAGTTCTTTCTTCTACCTCACAAAACCTCCTGTTTTAGTCTAAGTCCATGTTTACTTGGTGTCACTGTGGAGATGTAGGGCAATGTGGCTCAACCAATCGGTGATTTATTTTAAGGTCACGGAGCTGGGAGGAGAAGGCCCGTGGTCTCCCCCTCTCCTTTGGGGGACCATGTCTGAGGTTGGGGTGGAGACCGCTTCAGCCTCTGGATGCTGTATGGATGGAAGGAGGGAAAGCCGTTATCCTTACAGAAAGTGGGAGAAGGATGCAGGGTTTCGGTAGGGGATGGGGCTGTGCTCTCTGTGGGTGCTTCTGGAATGTTCCATCATGGCATCATGGGTAATCACATTGTGTGTCACATGATGGGTTCCCCAGCCCTGCTCACCACCCTTGCCTGTGGTCACTCCTCTCCCCTCTGTCCACAGGCTTTGGGGTCTGTGAGAGGTCTGCGCATGAGGGGACCTTAAAACATGGACCACAATGGTCTCTCCAGCCATCAGGATCCTCAGGGAGGCTGTTTATTATATCTCAGAGGTGCCAATGACGAGATCTGCCGGCTAAGGCTGAGACTTCCAGGAGTTCAAGGTCATGCGGAGGGCACGTGGCCAAAGTCTTCAGCCTACTCCTCCAGCTCACAGTGAAGGTCAGGGAGTGGTGTAACATCTGCACCTGAGCTGGGAGAGCAGAAGACAGGTGACCTGCCTGAGTGTCATCCTCATCTGTCCATCCGGAGGCATCCTAACCTAGACAGAGCACAGGCATCCCTGGGACCCATTCCAGGACCTCTGTGGATACCAACATCCTGAATGCTCAGCTCCCTTACATAAAACGGTAACCTGCGCAATCCTCCCAGATACTTTAGATCATCTGTAAAGAATGCATACTACCTAAAACAATGTAAATGTTATGGAAGTCATTGTTATACTGTATTGTGCAAGGCATAATGGCAAGAAAACAAAGCCTGCACACAATCAGTGCAGACCAAACCTCCCTCCACACGGTTCCTGTCTGCAGCGACAGACAATGTGCTATCTTTTCTCTGGAGCACTTTCAATCTGTGTTGGGTTGGATCCGCAGATGCAGAATTTGTGGACTCTGAGGGCTGCCTGTCGTTGCATTTTTACTGTAAGGAATGGGGCTTGGAACTGGAGATTCTCCTTCCAGCTCCGTGACCTTAAAAAAAAATCACCAACTGGTTGAGCCAGAGGAATCACAGTTGTTGCTCCGGTCCCTAGATTTGATGGGAGCGGAAACGGAGGCCCAGAGAGGTTAAGGGGTTTGCCTGGGGATGAACGGCGGAGAAGCTGGTAGAGGGTGGGGAAGGCAAGGCGGGCCGGGGTGTGGCTCACTGAAGTGTCCTCCCACTCTCCCTGAAGGCTCGCAGGGGCTGGGCCCTGGGCACAGGAAGGAGTGAGGGCCAAAGGGGCCTCTTGAAGCCCAGCTCCTGTGGGTGGGTGCTGGCCCAGGACAGGCTAGCAGGAAGAGGGCTCTGGGCCGCCGAGTCCCACTGTGGATGCTGCTGGTGGCCACTGAGGACCAGGGGCCGCCACGCGGACATCCCTGGTGGCCGGTGCCACCCTGTGTGCCTGCCTCGCCCTTCATCCCGTGTCTAGGACACCGCATGCACCCCAGCTCCAGTGGCTGGGGACGGAGTGGAGGCGAGGAAGGGCTGGCAGGAGGGGCCGAGGGCCAAGGAGCAGTCGGCGCAGAGCACTTTCCTGCCCATGGGAGCTGCCCCAGCAGGAGCAGGAGGATGTGGCGGGGCCCAGTGTTTCCTGCCTGATAAGCCGCCCGCCCCGCGCGGGGAGCCAGGCTGGCCACCTTCACGCCTCAGCCCTGCCCGGGGAAGGCTGGTGAGGAGGAAAATCTCTTCTCCAGATCAGCCCGCTGTGCCTTCCTCCCTGCCCGCCCTGGGGCCTCCGCCGCAGGAAGCGCCCAGCCTGCAGCCTCCGGGTCCCACCCGAGCCCTGCGGCTGTCTCAGGGCCCACCTCCTCTGCTTGCACAAAGTCCGGCCCCGAGGAGGGAGTGCCTGCCACCCCGGTGCGACCGGCCGTCCCCAGCCTGGAGTGCGGGCCTCAGGAACTGGTCACGGTTTCATTCACAGGCGGTCCCCATCTGCTTCCTCCCGCCTGCTCATTTGCCCTCAGTGACCACCTCGGAGAGACACCGCAGACAGGGGCTGTGTGTGGACGGCAGTGTGGACGGGGTGGGGCCGCCCTGTCCGAGCTGCGTCCTGCTCCGGAAGAGGTGAGCCGCAGGGAGCTAAGGGGCTCCTCCCCCGCAGACTCAGGGCCTGGACGCCGGATGGTGGCCGCCCTTAGGGCAGCGCAGCATCCCCAGAAGGGAAGGGGGTGGCTGGTGCGGGCGGTGGCCCCTTCTTTTGGCTGACCCCAGCTCCATCCTCCCCTCTCTGATCCCCACAGGGAAAACCCTCACAGGCTTCTCCGCTGCTGTTTCTGGGGCCATCACAGCAACCCCAACACTAGCGCAAGCGAGCCCTTCACAGGCAGGGAAGGCATCTGAGCTGCACAGGGGCATGGCAAGGTCACAGTGCTGGACAGCAGGGACGGCGTCCCCGGGCCCTCCCGCCTGGCTGGTGGGAGAAAGCCCCAGGGCGCGCTGCCAGGCTGCGTTCCCAGCCTGCCCCCCGCCGCGCCCCCCGCCCTGACACAGCCAGTGGGCCGCGCGAAGAGCGGGGAATTCCCTGGCCGGCTGGGCGCACGGCACAGGGCCACTGTGCTGCGGGGCCCTGAGCGAGGAGCGGCTGGTGGAGGGTGGAGACCAGGGGCCAAGCCTTTTCATCTAACGCGCTGCGAGGCCCATTCAGCCACAGGTCTGCTGTGTGACGCTGAGCCGGTCACATCCCTGCTCTGGGCCTTGCAGGACTCCGTTTCCTCCAGCGAGCACATCCCCTTCTCAGAGCCCCGGGGAGAGGGTGAGAAAGAGTGGAGGGCCCCCTGCTCTCTGCCCCTGGCCTCAGACACAGGTGGGAGTGGGGTCCCCAGGCAAGGGCCTGCTGTGCAGAGCCAGCCAGGTGAGGCCCAGAAGCTGAGCACAGCTGGCTGGAGCGGCAGCTGTGCGTCTGGGCAAGCCCTCCCACCGCAGCGCCCTCCGGCCCGCGCTGCCCCGGGCGCAGGCCCCTGACACCTGGCCTGGCCCCGTTCCCAGCATCCCGGCCAGCCCCACCTCCCAGAGCTCTGCCCTGCCTTGCCCACACTGCCTGAGCCTCGGCCTCTCTGCCCGCCTTCCCGCCTGGGTACTGGGCTGGCAGGATGGGGCAAGAGGCCTCTGTCGCCCGCGCCCCGCCTGCAGGTCCTCGTGTGACCCTGGCACCAGAAGCGTCTGGCTGTGCGAGCCGCAGCAGCGCCTGTGGGAGCGGGGGCCCAGGCCCCAGGCTCTGGAGTCTGTCCTTCCGGCCCCTGCGGTCCCTCTAGACCTCCACCCGGTCTCTTGCCACCTATGGCCCCAGCCTCTTCCCTCCTGACCAGCCATAAGATTAAAAAAAAAAAAAGCAAAGAAACTTTTTGCATAAAATCTTCTGCTCACCCAGTAAGGCCAACAAAGTGAGGCTCAGACTTTCACAGCACTTCCTCATTCAATCCCAGCTTAATGTGCCAAGATCTCCTCACCTGACCATACCCACAGCAAACGCTCAAATGGGATCTGTTTCTTCTACCCCAGGGCCTTTGCATAGGCTCTTCCCAGGCTGAAATGCCACCCCCACGTATGCTTTAGGTAGATTCTTGTTATCTAAGGACACAGCTAAAATGTTTCCCCCTCAGAAGCCTTTTCAGCACGCCCTCCACCCACCCTGGCCTCCCCTCTCCCAGTCCCCTCCCCAGACTGTCTATTCCCACATGCCTCATGTGCCTTTGAAACATGATGGCAGAACTGCAGTCTTTCTGAATTCTCTCAAAGGGGAGAGAAAGGTATCGGATCAGTCCTCGGTCCCATGGCGGGCATGTCTAGCTCTTGGATCAGCGTCTGAATGGCCACGCGGGGCCCCAACACAGGCCACCCCACCCTCTGCTTGGCTTTCATCTCACACCAGTGGCTTCATTTTTCTGTGCCTCAGTTTCCCTGTAAACTGGCGCTGCTTTAGTTGGGAGGATGCAGGTGACAGTTGTAAACAGAAGTAGCAGGAACAGCTCAGGGGATGAGAAAGAAGTTCCCAGTATCATCTCCTCTTGTCGATCCTTGAAAACTTTAATTCTCCACTGGAGTCTTGCAGCTCCCTAGGCTGTGTCCGTACCCTACCCTAAGCCACCAGTCGGGAGCCAGAGCGATTTAGAACACCTTCCTCAGGAGAGCAGGGTGAGGGAGGGCACGTGTGTCCCATGGGACACACACGGGTCGCCACATCTCCTGGGACAGACTGTGGGGGCCTGATGTTGACAGTGCTGGCTGCCCTTCCCTAGTAATACCTTTCCCAAGCCCAACTGCAAATCTTGTTGTAATTTACTTCACGGAGCACCTAAGTACACGCAGCAAACTTGGGAGTGCCGAGCCGCAGAGAGAGGAGGGCAGAGACAGAGCGAGCTCCACGCGAAGATGCTGCCTATTAGTTCCCTTGGGGCCCTTCTAGTCCTCTCCTCCTAGAACCGTGTCTGTGCCCACATAAGCACTTACATTTCCTTTAGAATATCGGGACTGCACTGTTTTGGAAACTCGCCTTTCAAAAAAGCCAACATGTGGCCCGAGTGTCCTTCCCTGTCTGTGAGAGCGTGGCTCCCGGAGGCTGCTGGGTGTCCTGTGGGGATCTTTCTGCAGCGCCCTCTTCTGCTCGCCGGGTGACCAGACCTCACCCCACCCCCTGCCCTCAGTTTTGCCCTAAATGGGAGCCACAGCACCACTCCCTGCTGGTTCCCTGGGGAGGGCGGAGCAGGCTGCCCTGGCCCTTCTGTCAGAGGTCCTGTCCCGGCTTCCTGGCGGTCATCTGGGCCCTCCCCCGCCAGGCGGCCCAGTCAGCCCTGCTGGGAAAGGCCACCTAGGAATCCAGGCCCCACCCAGGTGGCCAGGACCCAGGGATGGCCACTTTCATTTCCCCCAGGTGCCCAGGAGGGAAGTGACTCGCCAGGGGGCCGGCGGTGACTCAGCAGCCTCCTGGCGGCAGCCCAAGCCCTGGGAACCAACCCCGAGTGCTGTTGTGCTGGGGCAGAAGCGTCTCTTCCTGGGAGGGAGAGGCAAAGGCCTTGGGGTGCCCGGGCCTGCCAGTGTGCAGGGCTGTAGGGGACGCTGTCCCATGTCTAGCTGGACTGTGACTGTGCACGAGGTGAACTTCCCGTCCCCCGTGCACCAAGACGGCCCTGGGGGAAGACACGCAGCACCTCGGAAACATGGGAGTCAAATAGCAGTGGGCCTAGCTGTGAGCAGGCCACCTCAGGTCCCCTGGTCCCCTGGGCCCCTTTTTAGAATTGGGAGTGCAAGACCCCCCAGCCCTCCCACCCCAAAGTTCTATACTCACCAGGTTCCACCAGCCAGTCCGAGGGACACCACACCCAAGGGCATCCATGACAAGTTCACACCACCAGCAAGCCAGCCCCACCCCAGGACATCCAGCCTGGCCCCTCCTGGCCCAGTCTGTGCTGCTCAGCAGTCCTGGGTGGTTCTGCCTGTGACTGACAGCTCCTTACTTGGCTAGAAAAGTAGCAAGGCCTCTGCCTTGCTGTATGGCCAGGACCGGTTCACAAAACTCGGCTGTGTGGGGTCCTCAGAAGAAAACATCAGGACAGCCTCCTGAGACCCCTGGGGACCAACGGCTGCCTCGCGGTGTCAGGGCCTGGTCAAGCTTCAAAAGCCTGTGTTGTCCTGGTTCCCACTGTGACCCATGTGCATGGAACCGGGGCATCTTACGGTGTCAAGGCAGGCAGGGCCCTCAGGAAGAACACAGGTCATCTCACTCCTTTCAAAAATCTGGATACTGTCATGCCCTGTGTGTCCTTTTGGGTAAGAACAAAAGAACTCTGGAAAACTTTACAAAACACAGCAGGCAGCCCGTGGGTTCTTTGGCGGAGGGTTCACAAGCAAGCCGAGGAGCTCCAGTGGGGGACGTCCCTGGTGGGCGTGGCCTGGCCTTCTGGTTTTGAGGCAACCGCGGCCCCGCCGGTGAGGAGGGCCAGGCGTTTCCTGAGGACAGAGCAGTGAGGAAGGCAGCCTTTGGTTCCACTCCCCTCCCTCCTGTCCCTTGTTTGTGTGTGCGGACTCCCAAAGAATGGGCTGTGCGCGGCCCCGGAGTGTGGTCCGCTCAGTGTAGATGCTGCGGTCTCTCTCAGAGCCCAGGACCAGAGGGGACTGAGGCTCCTGAGCAGGGGCAGGCCTGGCTACAGGGCCACGCCCTGTGCGGCAGGGAGGGGACAGGAGAAGAGCTGTCACCTGGGCGGGTAGGAGGTTTGGCTGCTTCTGTCACAGCTTCACCCTCGATTAGTCAAGTGACCTTGTGCAATCATTCCACCTGCCTGAGCCTCAGTTTCCTCATCTGTCCTGTCGAAGCCTTCCCTGCCCTGCCCACCTCACTGACCTCAGTCAAATAATGGGCGTGGCACGTTGGCTCACATAGCCAAACCACTGCCTGGCAGGGCGAGCTGCCCCCGGGTGGCTGGATTAAGAACCAGTCTCTCAGTCTCTCTCCTCGCTCTCCCTCCCTTGCTTCTCTTTGCCTGGTGTCTTCCTTCTGTCAGGCTGGAAGCTCCTCCACAGACTACTCTGACCTGCTAGAGTCCTTAAAGCCTCACAACCAACAGGAAGCAGGTGGAGAAGATTTAAGGAGAAAAATCTTTGGATTGGCCATCATGATAGGGTGTGGTGGATGGGGTGAGGATGAAGCACTTTGATTGGTCCAGTTTGAGTCATGTGCCTGTGTCTGTCCAATCACTGGACAGACAGATGACTGATCGGTGATCCACTTGGAGGAGGAGCTTACCCATTGGTCAGGGTGGGAGGCAGGGTGGCTGGGAGCCCCCAGGAGAAAGAACCGTCAGATTGTGCCCTCTGCAGGGCACTAGCTGTGTCTTTTCTCTGTCCTGCATACAGTGGGCACTTAATATCCTTGGCAGTGAAGTTCCTGGCACCCCAAGTTTCGTGGAGGCCTTCCTACCTGCTATGGCCCTCATATGGCGGGTCCCCATCCAGGAGGATCTTGTTTAATTGCTGGTGGGTGTGGGGACCCAGCCTGGTGTTTTGCTGCTGGGTCCCCAGCGCATAACAGTATCTGGTACCAGTGACTGGCCAGTTAGTACACGTGACACAGATGTGTGCACATTGCTGTTCCCACACCCAGCACCTCTGAGGGCAGAGCCCACGCAGTTTTCTGAGGTTGGTCACCGACTTCTTCCCCCACTCCCATCCTCACAAATGAATTCTCTGTGACCCGCCACCAACTCTGCAACACTCCAGCTCCGTGGATTTGTGTGGTTGCTTTTTTTTTTAAATATAAAGAGAATGTTGCTTTCACCGAGGAGCTAAGATATATTGGTGTTTATGTTTGTGTTAGCACCTCCAAAACAGTGTTGAAAGTTCCGAGGAAATTTCTGATAGAATTAAAATTGGGAGATGTTCCACCGGCAACAGAGAAGCCGTTTCCAGAAGGATCACGGCCCTGAGTGGGCGACACTGTGACCCGTTACTGTTGATGCGCAGGCTTCTTGGTACCGGTATTGCACCGTCAGGGACGTGGCTAGGACTCTCCCGGAGCACAGTTCACACGGATGGTCACGTTGTGCACATTTGCCTTGTTGGAAAAGAAAAAGTCAAGATAATTCACTCTCAGGACTCATGCTCAGATTCATTGCCACCAAAGGGTTTATTGGACAACAAAAGGACAGGAAGAAACAGAAAGATCAGCAGCCATGAGCTCACACCACACACTGCCGAGGGCTGAATTCCTGCTGCTCCAGGGCTCCTGTGTGTGCCCCCAGTTTGCCCTGGTTCTGCATCCACTGCTGCTACCAGCCTTCCGGTGGCTCAAGCAGCGGAGCTGGACCCCCCTCTTGGCCCCAGCCAGGGGAGGTGCTGGCTCTCAGCTGCCTCGGCTGCCTGCGGCTCATGTCCCAGGGAGGGCCCCAGGCTGGTCCTGAGGGGTCCCCAAGTGCTGTCACGCGAAGAGGTGTACACAGCCCAAGTTCATGTGCTGAAGAAGCTGTCTTCTCTCACATCAATCTTAATTCCCCACCATTCAGCAGAGGCCTGGCTGAATGGCCTGGCCTGGGACAACAAAAGCTAAAGCAAGCCCAGCGCAGGGACAACAGTGTCGCCCAGGATATGACCGTGTGGGAAACCGGAACATGCAACCTGCTTCTCCATCCTCAGGCTCCAATGGGTGTCCCTGGTACAGCCGCTGTTTTCCTGTTCAGGGACCCACAGCTTCACAGCCCACGAGGCCTGGGTGGGCACTGCCCAGGCTTGAGGTCCACAGGAAGGGGGCTCAGTGTCCATGCTAGGGTTTTCCTAGGGGTTGCCCAGCTGCTGACTGTAAGTAACCTTGCCCCTTGGCCACAGTGCGCCTCTGCTTGTCTTGAAGTCAGTCAGTGTGGTATCTCCATGCCTCTCGGGGCAGAGGCAGGAGGTCAGGTTTTCCGTAATTTCCTGGTTCAGTCAGCCAGTCAGTCAGCATCAGCCGGTCTTCCAATGCCCTGTAGCGTTCCCTAATATGGCTCCTCTGTGTGGCCAAAACCCCTGCTGCAACCCCAGCCATGCTTGTGGGGGCCCAGCTCTGAGGGTGGTACCATAAGAACCGGCTTCTCTTTTCCCTTGGGCGGCTCTGCTGGTGCTAGGTAGGTGAACCAGAGCAGGCTGGGTCCCTGACACAAGTGGGTGACCAGAAGAGAGGGTTCCTCTCGGCGGGGAGGGACAGGGCCACTGCAGGGGACATTGTCAGGGCCCCTGTGGCCAGCTCTGGGTCTGAAGGGCTTGTGGTGAGGGGCTCAGACCCCTGGGCCCTGAGCGTGGGCGTGGGGACACTGGTGCCCCCCAGTGGAGGGGAGAGGCCAGGCTGAAGTTGGGTTCTAAACCTCCCAGGCCCTCTGCACAGTGAGCAGTGTCCTGGCCAGCTTGTCCCTGGCCTGCCAGGGTGCCTCATTCCCTGGCTTGCTTAGGAAGTGATCCATATAAGGTCCTCTGGGCCCCCACAAGCATGGCTGGGGTGAGAACCACATGGACAGTGTGAGAAGCACTGTCCCCTGAAACCAACCGCTGCAGCACGTGGGTGCTGTCGGCAGCAAAGTCACAGTGGCCTGGGGAGGAGGCACAGAAGAGTCCCCGATCTTGGGCTTGAGCTTCCTGTGGTCAGTGGTTCTGCTGGCCGGGCACAGGGGTCCCCCTCACTTTTTCCTCTTGAACCCCATGCTGGCCCCCAGAGCTCGCCTTTGATCGCTGAGAATAAGCCCTGTCCCGGGGCACGCAATGCGGATCTGACCAGGCTGGACATGCAGAGGTGTGAGACGGTGTCCAAGACAGATGAAGACACATGTGACTCCGTTTCTTTTAATCGCTTTAACTTCTGTTCAGAGGGGTGCATGCAAAGCTCCCCTCCCAGGCACCCGGGGCAGTGGTCACGGGGCTCAGGCTACTTCGCCATGGCTTTCTTCCCTCGGTGGCCCTTGTGGGACTTGACGGGCTCCTCCGGCCCCCGCTGGCCTGGGCCGGGGGGCGGGAAGGGCAGGGGGGCGTTGAGACTCAGCACCTGCCTCTGGAGCCGCAGGTCCAGGATGTCAAAAGCCGCCTGGATCTCACGCTGCAGCCGCTCTCCCAGGCTCTTGATCTGGATGCCGACTGCCTCATGGACGAGGTGCTCCAGCGCCTGTGCGGATGCAGGTAGGGAGCAGGGCTCTGGGGTGAGCTGAGTCCCTGCCCACCAGCCCTCCTTGTCCGTGTCCTTCTCCACCCTGGCAGGGTCCCATCCACCGGCCCTCTGGCCCCTGGTGGTGTCGCCCAGGGGAGTGGACTGGGGTCCCACCTCCTCCGGCAGCTCTGAGCAGCCATGGTCACAGTGCCCTGGCGACAGCCATGCTTCCTGCCCCCCGTCCTCTTCCATAGTTGCAACTCATATTTCGAGGTCGTCATGGCTTCCTACTCTTTTCCCTTCGGGCCCTGGGTGGCAGGCGCCCCGTCTGTGGCGTTGTTTGCTCCTAATACCCCCTCCGCACTACCCTTCCTGCTATCTGTGAGCTCTGCTGGACACCACCCCCACTCCCACAGCCCCAAGTCCTCCATGGGTGTCATGGAGGGGACAGGAAGTGGCTTCAGAGAGCCCCCAGCCCTGGGAAGCCCCCTCTCCACCCGCCATGTTGGCACGAGACCCTCCCACCACCTCCCTGAGGCTCCTGGTGTCCCCAAGTATCCTGGAGACGTGGGCCCTGGGGCTGTTTCCCAGGCTCCCTGCCAGAGCTGCCACACAGGAGGAGAGGCCGTGCCTGGGGAGCAGGGGGCCTCGGACCAACTGTGAACTCAGCTTGGTGAGTTTGGTAAACTCAGTCCTCTGCGCCTCATCTCCCCCTCACTAAAGCGGAGGCGCAGATTCCTGCTGGCAGGGACATTGTGTGACAAAGCCCACCAGTGAGAGCGGGAGAAACCAGACACATGCCCATGGGGTGGACTGTGTCTCCCCGAGTCCAGCCTGGCGGGGTAGGAGGGGCTCGGCGGCAGGGAGGGCTCACCTCTCTGCACAGGCCCTGGTGTGGCTGTGTCCCCTCAGCGCCCCAGGCCCCTGCGAGTTGGAATGTCCGCTCCAGCAGGCGCGCCTGCTCCGCACGCAGCGCCTCATTCAGGAGCTGCACATCCTTGCGCTTCTGCTCCTCGGCCGTCCCCAGTGCAGCCATCTGCTGCTCATGCTTCCACGTGTCCCTGTGCGTGCCCTCCGCCAGCGGCAGGGGCTGGGGTGGCGTGCACACCTCCAGGCGGGTGACGGTCAGGTTGACGTCCTGGTCCTGGCCCAGGACGAACTGGTAGAGCCGGTAGTGGCGGATGAAGGTGTTGTGGAAGTAGTCGCAGAGGGCCAGCAGGTGACTGGTGGTGAACTGCAGCTGGTAGTCCACGAGCTTGTTCCCCAGAATCCTCACTGCCTCAGTGATAGAGCAGCCTGCGGCACAGAGGGGCCGGCCTCAGAGGCAGTCTGGCCTCAGAGCCCGTGGCTTTGGTTCTGTATCGCTACCTGTTAGCTCTGAAAGCCATAGAGTGTTTCACATTTCCCTTCTTAGCTTGGCTTCCGGGAAGCTCATAACTGCCATAATATATTTGTCCCATTTTTCTCTTCTGTGATTCCCCCACTCCTTGAGTTTTGTCTTTTAACTCCTGTTTTAAAGGCTTATTTTGGGTGAGCTTTATGTTGTTTCTACTTCAGACTCCTTAGGAAGGTGATGAAGGTGAGCTATTGGAGAAATGTCCAAGCAACAGTCACGCTAGTGACTTGTGGTAGAGTCAGGCAAATTGTGTTGACCCCACACAAAGGGCCAGCTGTGGGGACAGCAGGGTGGGCAGGGACCAGCCCTCCTGTCTCCTGTGAGCAGGGGTGGAGCCGGGTGCCAGCAGCGACAGGGTTTGTAAAGGGTGGTGGCTGGACGCTGGTCCATCCTGGTGAGGTACATTGGGCAGAGGAGGCGGGGACCTGGGTTCTCCACACAGCCCCTGCCCTGCAGTGGCCACATCTCCCCTGCACCCTGACTCGGGCCAGCTCTGCAGGTGGAGCTGGGGCCCCGGGGCCCTGAGCCTGTGCTCCTGTGGCTCTGGGTCTGTGTATGGCTGTGTACCCTCCCTCTCTACCCCTTTCTGTGAACACTCGAGCCTGTTCCCTGCTGAGCATCTTGTCTTGCAGGCAGGGTGGCCCATGGCTCGCGGGGCCCCTGGGTTCCTGCTCACAGCTGTCCTACGTGGGCCCACTATGTGGGAATACCCACTCCCTCTCCTGGGACAGAGGGGCAGGGGCTGTGGCCCATAGGTTGGAGGTGCAGGGTGTGCTCCGTCTCGTCTCCAGGGGCCTGAGCTGGGCCTGGAGGCCTGGGTTTCACCTGGCGAGCCCAGTCGGGCTTCGGCCTGCAGTTGGGGGCGTTGTTGTAGGAGCAGATGGGCCGGGCGCCTTCGCCTTGGGGAATGCTGTCCTGGCTCCGCTCTTCCTCCTGGCCATCCGGTCCCACAAGCTCATCTATCAAACTGTTCCTATGAACAGCCTATGAACACCTGCCACCTACCGTGCAGTGAGCCTGCGCTGGGTCCCGCGGGCCGTGCAGGGCGCACAGTGCCCTGCCTGTCTCAGGGTGGATGAGAAGCAGTTCAGAAGGCGGGCAGGGAGGAGCGGAGAGGGGCAGAGAGCGGCACTAGGGGCCAGGTGACCCTGAGTAGCAGTGCGGCGTCGAGCAGGGCCGCACCCAGCATGGTGGGGAGCATGGCCGAGAAAGCGGGCAGAGGCTGAGTTGGCAACCAGAAGTGGGCATAGGGGCCAGTGGGAGCTGGGCAGTGACACTCAGGGGACTTGGAGGCACTGGAGCAGGCCACAGATCAGGCTGGGGTGGGTGGCTTCTCCACAGCAGGGACAGTTCATGGTGGTCTAGGGCATCCTGGGGACGAGGACACATGCACTCTGGCTGGCTGTCCAGAGGTCAGAGTGCTGCGCCCCACTTCGCCACTGTACATCTGAGTGACTCTGGGCAGGATACCCCAGTGCTCTGGGCCACCCTGTCCCCCCCAATGGACGCACGCATTCTCAACGGGGCAAAAACTCTTAGCTACAGCAATGGTCTGTGGTTTCCAAGGCTCAGCCCAGCTACAACTCCTGGGCTCAGTGCTAAGTTTCTCCCTGTGGGTTTCCTTGCGTGTCACACCGATGTCCCCAAGGTGATGGGCAGGGACTTGTGCTCCTCAGGAACCTGACAGCAGCTCTCGGTCCTGCGATCAGCACCACACGGCACTTTCTAAGAATACAGACCCCTCCGCCGTGCACTGCTCACTACACCTCAGACAGACTGGCTGCTTGGCGGCTATGGGCATCCTACTCGCACCCCTTTTGCCTTTGGGGAGGAGTGAGACACCTCTAACCGGGAAGGCCCAGCAGGCTGGAGTCGTCCTGCGCTCAGGACATGGGCCTGGGTGGGAGGGAGAAGCTTGGCAGAAGACGGCGGGGAGGGAAGAGGCCTCCGCGAGCAGAGCCCAGGATGCCCACACTCACGCATGCGCGTGGCCCCAGGAAGCTCGAGTTTCTAGCAAGCAGCTGCACTCTGCGGGCCTGGGATGGGGCCAGACAGGCTCCAGGTCTCCAGGTTGGTCAGAGCAGCTCAGGAGGGGCCGGCAGGCCACACGGAAGGGCTGCACTGACCAGGAAGCCCTGAGACAGGCATGGATGGGCTTCCGGTCTGTCTGGGAACCCCGGGATCGCATCCCATTTTGCAGGCAGTCTCTCTGGGCAGGGCGTTCATGGAATGACGGCATTCCCATAAGCAAAGAGCTGCAGCTGAGCTGCAGAGCCCTGCAGAGGCGAAGAACAAGGGCCAGGGGCTCCTAAGGGCTCAGCAGCCGCATGCAACATGACAGGGATGGCCAGGGACGCCCCCAGGAGGCCTTTGGTGACCATCAAAGCTGTGCTGCAGGCCCCTGGGGAGGTGACTGTGTGTGAACTTCTCCAGGTGATTCATCGGACCTCCTCTGGCTCCTGGGAGTTGCTCCTCCTCCGTGGGGTGGGACCAACTGCTTCTCCACGTGGGTGGCCGAATCTGCTTCCTCCTCCAAGGCCTCTCTCTGCAGCCCCTGGCAGCCATGCAGAGCCCAGACTGCAGTCCCAAGGTCTGTGTGACACGGTGGTGTGCAAGTGTTCCCAGGGGCTGCCATACTGATGTCCACCCTCCTGTGGGCACCAGCTGTGACCGAGCCTAAGAGGCAATGAAACGCCAGCATGGATCTTTTCCCAGAGCACGTGGCTGCGTTCTGAATTCCAGCCCCAAGATGCTGTTCCGGCCCTCTGGGGCTTCAGGTTTTGGCCCATCCAGAGCTGGCTCATGGACTCTGTCTTGGCCTCCAGACCCCGCTCCCTGCACCCCAGTGACTCAGAAAGCCCAGGGATTAAGTCCTGCCGAGCAGACAGATCTGTGCCTGCAGTCGCTGCTCTTCAATAACAGGGAGTGGCCCTCATTTGCATTGGCTACGGAGAACTTCCTGAAGACGTCCCCAAGCCCCTGGGGGCCAGCACCTGCAAGCCTGAGTGGAGGAGGCGAGGAATGGGGAGGGGAGGCAGGGCAGCCGCAGCAGAGGGCACCTGGGGCTGCACGCTGGGGCTGGGGCTGGGCCGGAGGGGAGACACTGTCCTGGGCGGGGGAGAAGGACCACTCCTTCACGGGGGAGGGCGCGGGGCCCTGGCAGAGCAGCCTGGTGGTCTCTGACTTGGCTCAGTGGAAGAACCAGGTCAGGCTGAAGCCTAGTTGGCTGCATTCTTCCCTGGGCATTTAGGCTGGGGGAGACCCCACCCCACCCCATCTCCCACAACTCTGCACCAGCCCCTTCCTGCTCTGGGGCAGGTGCTCCCAACGCCTCTTTTGGGAGTGGGACTGCGACAGCAAGAGATGGGTGTTCTCTTGGTTAGGGGCACGGAACACCTGGGCCACTGCAGCTCCTCACCTGAGTGGAGCCTGTGAGGTACCACTGCCTCCACTCATGGAGAAACTGAGGCTCAGAGAGGCTGAGGAATTTGCTCAGAGGCACACAGCCTTCAGCGGATGCCGTCCAGCTCCAGTGGCTTCAGACCTCGGAGGTGGACACTGGAAGGGACCCTAGCCCTCTTAGTCACAGTTTTTCACAGGATGTTCTGCTCTGAGTACTTCATAAGCACACATGTTCCACAGCCAGAGACTTTAGGATATACTGGATCCAAGGAAATTCAAAAGAATCTCCATATGTTAATGAGCTCTGTAAAGTATGCTAATGAGCTCAGGGATTATCACAGAGGGCTGGGCGAGTTCAAAGTTTCTGTCTGGAGCAAGCAGTCTCTCTGGACCCATAAACATCCTAGGGAAATACTGAGCTAGTCTAGTCCTTTTGTTCTACTGGTGGGGAAACAGCCCCAGAGAAAGGCCAGACTGCCTCCAGCCCAGGGGTCAGGACCTGGGTCCCTGGACCCTGGTTGGTCAGCAGTGCCCAGAGCGTTGCTAGGCAAGGAAAAGTAGGGAAGGGACAGGCAGGGGACCGGATGTGGGGCTGCCCCTGGCCTGGGTCAGGTGGGAACATGGATGAGACTTGGAGTGCCCACTTTTGCATGAGTCCTTCCTGTCCTCAGGTCTCTGTGCTGCCGGCCTCCCTGCCTCCCAGGACACCCTTCCTGGGGTGGCCACTGGCAGAGCTGCTCACTGAGCTCTGTGGTGGGGACAGTCTGGTCCCTTCTGCCTGGCACCCCTCGGTAGCGGGGGGGACCAGCACCATGGTCCTGATGTGCCTGGGGTGGCCTGGGACACTGACAGGCGGGGGTAGGGCAGGCTGGCATCCCTGGGGCTCACACCTGGCCTCCACTCGCATCCCTGCGCCCGTCACTTTGCTCTCTGGGCATCGGTGGTGTGCCTCGTACCCTGGTGGCTTGGTGGCTCAGATGAGCGCACATGGGTGCAGTGCTTCCCCCAGGCCTGATCCACAGTGAGCTTTCAACAAGTACTGTGGTTGGCCGGACTCGTCCCGCTTCCCCCGGGCTGTGTGGTGATGCAGAAGTCATCCGTCCTCAGAGCGCAAGGCACCACAGGGAGCCCTAAGTCCTGGTGCCAAGCGGCCCCCACCCAGTTCGGATTTGGTAGTCACTGATGGCTCCCTTAACGGTTAGGAGGGGCTCTGGGTGCCGGCGAGGTGTAGGGCGCTCCACAGTGAAGGCAGAGGGGAAAGGAAGCTGGGAGTCGGCCAGGTTCCCTCACAAGGAAGGGACTCAACTCCAGTCAGACGCTCAACCAGGTGGGTGACATCCTCGTAACCGCGCCTGGCAATGTCTCCTAGAGAACACGCGTGGGGCAGGACAGGGCCCATCAGGCAGCGGATTCCAGAGTCAGAGGGAGAACGTTCTAGAATCGAGAGCTGCTCATCCCCACAGTTCATCTTCTCCTGAGGAGAGACAAGGCCCTTGGC